TCTGATGACGTGTTTAAACCCCCATATGATGGTTCAGCACGTCCAAGGCCTCGGAGATCTTGCTGTCGAGCAGCGCCGGGTTCTCAAGCATGTTCACGATCTCCGTCGTCTCCATCTCGAGCAGCATCCCCGTCACCTTCGCGGCGAGGGTCGGGTGGGAGCGGACGATGTAGCTGTACAACCGCTCCCCAAGGACGTTCCGCTGCTGATCGGGCGTCAAATTCGGCAGCATCGCGGAGAGGCTCTGCGACGGGGGCGCCTGCTGGGGGTAATGCTGCGGCACCATCGTGTGCATCGGCGGCTTCTGCGCCCCCATCGGCCGCGCGACGCGCATCTGATTCATCGGCGCGGGCCCGCCTCCCATTGGGCGCCCCATCCCGAACCCGCCCGCGGCGGCCGCCATCGGCATCATCGGCATCCGCGGGTTCATAAACGGCATGCCCATGTTGCCGAAGATCTTCGGGCCGCTCATGAAGCCGATGGAGGGGGGCCCCCCCATCCCGCCGCTTGCGCCCGCGCCGCCCATGTGGTTCTGCCGGATCCGGAACTGCTGCTTACTGCGCTCCTCCAGGTTCTGCCGGCGGATGTCCTTGCGGAGGGCGTAGGTCACGAAGAGCGGCCGCGAGCTGAGGAAGGTGCTGCCGTTGAGCATCTGAATCGCCTGCGCGGCGGCCGCGTGGTCCTTCATCGAGACGAAGCCGAAGCAGTGCGAGAGGCCCGTCTCCGGGTCCACCATCACCCGGACGGAGATCGTCTCGCCGTAGGTCTCGAAGAGCTCCTTCAACCGCTCGCTCGTGACCGTCTCGTCGAAGCCTTTGACGTAGAGGTTGGGGTAGTTCATGTACTGCTTCGCGCGCTCGTGGCGCTGCCGTTCCAGGTCGCGCAGCCGCTCCTCGCGGGAGCGGAAGCGGCTGACGTCGAGCGCCATCCCCTTCTGCGCGATCTCGCACTCCTTCCCGTTCAGGGCCTCCACGGCCTTCACCGCGTCGTCGTGTGACACGAAGGCGACGTAGCCGAAGCCGACCTCCGTCTTAATCTCCCCCAGATCGCGCACCTTCGCGGAAGTGACGGTGCCGTAGGTGCTGAAGAAATCCCGCAGCTGCTCATCCGTCACGGCGGGGTTGAGGTTCTTCACGTAGAGGTTCGCGAACTGCTTCAGCATCTCCTCGTGGTGTTGGGGTTGGTAGCGCTCGACGAGGATCGGCTGCCCGTCCACCTCCGTGCCGTTCATCTCCTTCACCGCCTCCACGGCGGACTCCTCGCGCTCGTAGGAGATCCGCGCGTAGCCGCGCGAGGCGCCTTTCTCGTCGTAGGCAAGCACAATGCTCGTGAGGCGGCCGAACTTCGCAAACATCTCCTTCAACGCGTAGGTGTCGATCGTGGCGGGGAGCTTCTTGACGACGATGTTGCTCACCCCGCTGCGACGCTTCGCGGGGTCGCGCTGGATCTTCGCGATCCGGAGGTACCGATTGCCGAGCTTGCTACCAACAAGATCAAGGGCCTTCTCGGCATCGGCGGGATCCTGAAAGTTCACATAACCATACCCCAAGGACTTCTGAGTGGCGGAATCAACACAAACGCGCACGGATGCGACAGGGCCGATGCGAACGAAATAATCGTACAACTTCTGCTCGTTTAGGCTGAGGTCGAGACCACCCACCCAGATCGAGGGATTAGGACCGGAGAACGTCATTTTATATAAATCCTCAAAGTATCTTCCTTCTTATGTTAAATTATCTGTCTTTTTTTTTCCTGAATGTAAAAAAACAGATGGATCACACAAACGGCAGAAAAGAAATGAAAAAAATTCTACTTTTTGTTATCTTGATATTTTTCTTTTTTTCTTTTTGTTATTTTTGGTATTTCCACCTTTAGTGTAAATAAAAGCTGTTAAAGAGAGAATGTGACGCAGTGGGAAAAAATAAAGGGGAAAGAGAGAGAGAAGGGGTAGAAGATACGAATAAGAATTTTCATCTACAGAGGACGCCACCTTAACACCTTCCGACTTAGGGAAACACACACCGCAACGAAATTTTGAAAAATGGAACAAAGAACTAAGCTGCCCCCATTTCAATGCAACAGACGATAATCTTACCACCGTACAAAATACCCCTCTTCGAGTCCAAAAAGGGAAACTTGTAGGATACTTTTTAGCGGATTTTAATCTCCCTCCCTTTGCGCCTTCCTGTGTGCGTGTGTATCCTCCCTCCCCACGACCAGTTTCCTCATTTCAGACCCGAATCGGGAAACGCCGCGGCGAGGCTCACCGCACCACCGCAGCAATCCGGCATGCCCCACTGTTCGCGTAAATTCTCCAACGCCAAGAACGCAACCTCCTTTTCCTCCAGCAGTAGCACCTCCTCGCGATCAAGACCCCTCAGTGGGGAGGCGTGGGATGGTTTACCCTTTTCCACCCCCCGTATCCCCGTTGGGAGGTGAAGATGAAGGACGAAGTACATCCGGCCCTCATCCAAATCCACCCCGCTGTTTAACACGTAAAAAAGCGAATTTTCGTGCGCGAACCACCCCTTCCCGGTCTCCATCCCGACGACCTGAAAGACGATCGCGCGTAACAAAAGCGCCTCCTGCGCTCGTCGCCGCTCCTCCTCGCGCTCCCCTGCCAGACGGGAGCGTGGGAAGACAAAATTTAACACCCACGGCGCGATCCCCACGCGATCCTCAGAAGAAGAAGAATCGGAAGGCCCCTCTCCACGTAGAGTAAGCTTATTCCCTCGCCAACACGCCGCCCCCGCGCGGGAGGTGTTGTTCGTGATCATCAGAAATGTGGCGGGGAAGCGCTGCTGACGGAGCGCCGTGCGAATTCGACAGGAAAACGAATGAACCCTTCCACTAACGATCGGCGCGGTGGAAAAAGGAGAGGAAGAAGAAGGAGAAGGGTCCTTTGGAAAACCCCCAGCGAGGTGCGTTTCCTCGCCTTCCCGCCCGAACGCGACGAACTCCGAGGCCTCATAATGGAAGAAAAACGGCGGCTCCACGGAAGTGGGGATGGGGAGCGTCTGTGGAGGCGGATGACGCCGTCGTAGCGGCATTCCCGCGGCGGTTGGAACGCCTTTCCCCTCCCCCTCCCCCTCCTCCGCGCCATTCCTCCCTACCCCTTCCTGCCGCTCGCTTGAGATCGCAGCCACCACATCGAGCGCGCGCGTCGCGCTAAAGGCTCGTCGAAGGGTGTTTTTAAACCTCGAGGGGTTTCGACTTGAGGGCTTTTCATTCCTGTTTTTTTCCCGCGTCGTACCCGGGGGGGTCTCCGCCCCTGAGCGGGATGGCAACGGCGAAGAACCCGCGGGCGGCAACGACGCCCCTTCCTCCGGGCATCTCCGGCAGCGATCCGGCATCTCCACGTGAATACAACTGCGAAAGAGCAACGAGCAACGCGCGCAAACCCCCCAAAACCCCCGCTGAAGAATCTCCATAAACTCGCATTCGCTCACGAGGTATGACAAGCCAACCTCCCGAGGCATCGGGACTAACCAACTGCGAAGCGGAGGCGCATCCGTAGGGTCGCTCCCGACCGGCCATTCCCGTGTGCACGGGGAAATGCATGGGGTATAAAATCTTTTCCCGTAGCTTCCCGACCATATCGTGGGATCCGAACTCGACGCATCCAAACGTGGGGCCGAAACCCCTTCCGAGCCTAAACCATCCCCTCCCAGAGAGCCTCCTGGGAGCTTCCCGCCTAGACGAGAAAAGGGGCCGCTGGTCGGCCTCCACTCCGTATCCATCATCTCAAAGGAGCCCCATAACTGTTGGAGGCGAGCGATCTCGCAGAGCATGCGATGGGTGGAATACATGAGCTCAACGCAGTGCCCGACGTCAAGGTATCGCGAAGACCACAGAAGCTGCCCGGAGATGCTCTCCAGCAGTCGAACCCGCAAGGAAAGCGCCGCGTAGAGAATAAAAATGAAGTAAAATTCATAGGGCAAAATTCCCGTCACGATGTTGAACAAGATTTCCCGCGTTACTTCATATAAGCCTTTGCACCAGGTCCGTCGCTCGGGCGACAGCACCACCTCCCAGGAGATCACGTACAGGTGGGGAGGGGGTTGTTTGCCTTTCAACGCCTCCGCGGATCCTTTTCCCGTGGTGCGGCTCATACATCCCTCACTAAACTGATAATGGTGGCCAAATAATTCCTTCCACAACGCAAGAAACCCCATAAGGTAGTTCCAGTAGGCGGAGAGGTATTGATAGGTGTAGAGCAGCTGATCGGGCTCCTTCGCGTTGGGCGACATCGCTGGGGAGGAATCCGTGCTCAAACCGGTCCAATCACTTTGCGAGGATTGGAATTCCGAAGCGCGTTGCCGGAGGTATTGCAGCACATCCCAGGAGGATTTCTGCTCCTTCGTGAAGCTTTGGCTAGCGCGGGCGGCGGCAACCGTGAGCGAGAGGATCGGCATCGCGGCTTGAAGGAAAGGAAAGGCGAGATACCGCGTGCTCGACTCCGAGGGGGGGAGGGGGGGAAATGGGGATACACCGAACGCACCCATCGCGGCACTTCGCAGGTGCGGCATCAGCTTTGCTCCCTCTGGAGCGGTTGAAATTTCAGTCAAAACCTTTCGATGAGTTTCCACATCCCCAAAGTAGGTCATAGACGGTTCATACACACACACAAAAAAGGTCTAAATAGTAACGATGGATACGTCTACGATCTAGCGGAAAGAAAAAGGAGAAACTCAAAATACTTATTTGATCATTCAAACAATGACAAAGTGGAGCAGTGAAAGGGTAAAGTTGATGAATTAATGAAATACAAAAAAACATTAGTTTAGCCTCCTTTAAGGATATACGTGTGTAAATATAAAAGACCGTCAAGATTGTGGACCTTTGATGATAACAGGAGCAATATTTAGCTATGGCATAATGAATTTTTCCTCAAACACATCTATTATTGGATCCCTAAACCAGTATTCTAGACCGTATCAGATGAAGCACATCAGTGACTAAAGAAAATATAAACCAAAGGATTTATCTTCCCCATTTGACCCATAAAGTCCATAGCAAGGATAGATCACTACCCTTATTAAATGTTAGATGATTGCTGCTGGCTCAAAAACGGTCTTGTGTTCTTCAACCTCTCGAAGATGGCTTTCGCCCATGGGTGCTGTATTTTTTCACCGGATTCAAAAAATGAGCCCAAGTCCTTCTTTGGTTGAAGCCCTTCGTAGGAGTGCGCTTGGATAATCATCTCCAATAAATCCATATCTCTAACAAAAATCGACTCCGGCGTCTTCTGATCCTCATACTCACGAAACAGATCATGAAGTTCTTTGCTGAAAGACGCACACCCTGACGAGGACGCCAACGCGCTCAGCTGCTGCACCGCCTCTAGCTCCATCACTTGCTTTTCCTGTTTAGATATTTTAGAGAACGGGGTTATATCGCCGACAATGCTCTCGCCCGCGTCGTGGCAAAGCGCCATCTTTATCATCCGCGTTTTATCCAGTGAGGTGTCAGGGCACATCATGCACATGAGGGACATGCGATACATGTGATCGCTAACGGACTCCGGGTTGCGAATGTCATTGTTCACCCACCCTGTGCGGGGGGTATCCTTCAGTTTTCCAATAATTTGCAAAAAACTAATGACCTCCTGAGCCGATTTGCTATCTACAGAGTACGACATCCGAGCAGCACGAGAAATCAAGCTCAATCAACCTGGAATTTTCCTCTTACCACCTGTCATATCATCCGAGGCAGAATAAACAAAAAAGAAAGGAGTGGACGATCTATTAAAATAGTAAGCACAACAAAAAACATTTAAGGGTATAATGATGATATCCGTACTAATATTAAAACTAATAATAGTCCAAAACATTCTCATTTATCAGCAAATAACTAGTCGGTAATCATAAGCCTTCAAAGGAACCTTTTCTCAGTTCCAAAGATGCAATCAATCTCAAATCAAGAAGGATCTGCTTTCCATTGGATCGTGTTTGAATACGATCCTCCCCCTCCTCCTACCCATCTACTTTCTATCCCAAATGGATATCCTATCCCCTTTTAAGTTTTATCCCCACAATCCACATTTCTCACCCTCCCGTTTCGTTTCGCTCACATACTGGTGTAATTGTAACCCTCATACGGCTTCCTGCCGTTCTCATCGACCAGTGGTTCGTGAAAGCCTATACTGCGTGCTATCGCCTCACCCTTATAGGCGTACATCGATCGTAGGAGTTCGCCATCCTCTGAGGTGTAAACACAGATCGGAACCGATCCGTTGGAGGGCTCCGGGACCTCCGCGGTGAGCTCGATATGCACATCCATACGGAATTCGCTCATATAGCTCCACCGCTTCAAATGTGTAAGGAAATCCGGCGCGGGCTTCTTCCCCGCCACCGGGATGATATCGATCTCCGTCAGCTTCTCCGGCACCCCCATCATCGTCCGCCACCGAGGGCGCTCCACGGTTCGCACGTACACTCGCTCGATCTCAGGGTATTTGAAGAGCAACAGGTGGAGCTCCAGCTGCGCGATCGGGGGAATCGGCGGCCGCGCTCGCATCTTTGCCTCCACCTCATGGGGCTCCACACTTTTAAGCGCCATCTTTTGCGTGTTAAAAATCGTCATGAGGTGCGCATCGAAGAGGAGCTCTTTCTTGCCCTCCCGCTCCTCCATGAGCGTCAGCTCGCGCTCCATCATCGGGGTGTGTTTGATTTTCGACAGCTGAACCATCTCGGGGTAGGTGATGAATTTGCTGGAATACTGCCCGGGGTTGATTAAAATACCAAACTGATGCGGTGGCAAGGCGACGGTGGCGAGCGCGCAAATCCGCTCGAGGGATCCAATCACGCAGACGGGAAACGGCATCGCGCAGAAACTCTCCCACCGCGTTCCCATCCGAGGAACGGGAAACCAACACGATTCAAAGGTGTTCGTTCGACAAAAGTATTGATCCAGGCACTCCTCGATCGAGCAGACGGGCAACACGAGCAGCCCGTTGGGCATCTCCAGAAGCTTCGGCACCCGCCGCTCCTCGCAGGATTCGAGTTCGACCCAAAGCTTCTGTCCTTTGGGGAAGACATCCCCTTCCTCTTTGCGAACTTCCAGACACATCTCGGTGGTGCGAAAAAACATATAAAGCTCCTGCCAGGAGGCGTGCTCGGGTTTCTCGTTTCGCGCCATATTCAGCGCAGTACGGAGGCGATCGAGTTTGTAGTAGTTCTTCATATTCGCGCTGTTCGACATCACCTCCTGCATCAGGTGGGACCGCTGCTCTAACGGGACGTAGGTCTCTCCGTCCGAGGCGACCCCGCCTTGGTTGCCGTAGAGGCTCACCGTATCTTTTATCCGATCGGGAATCTCCGGCTGCGTTCGGTAGCCTTTATTCGGGATGCGAGTTTGATAACGGCGGTGAAAACGCAACGGTGAGGAGGGGAAGGTAGCTGGAGAGACCGCGAGCACCCCACCAACGGGGATGCGTCTCCATGGTAAAGGCCGCATAGCGTCCGCAGGTGTCGATGTATTTCTTTTTTTTGAGGGGGAAGTTGCTATAGTTTCTTTACATGTACTGAAAAAAAAAACATCGTAAATCATAAGAGTTGTAAATTAAGGGGAAGAAAAAAGGACATAATTTTTTGTATGGCAATAACTCCTAAATATAACATTCCTAAGCAAGCGAAGTTAGCATAGTGCTACTGGAATATATGTGTGTGTGTGTTCAAAGGGAACAAGAATTGGACCTTTAGATCCCCTGTTCTCCCGTTATTACGAGTGCCTCCACATTACTCTAATTCAACTCACCTTTTACGCAAAGGATCGGTCATGCGTTCCAGAAAAATCTGCTCTAGCTTAGCTGGGGGCAAGTTCTCGGCTAAGGAAAGATAGGCTAGCTGATCGCGATGCAGGATCATGGTAGCCAGGGTATCGCGATGCTGATAGCGAAGCCAGTCTTCCTTGGTCGTTTCTAGGCTGAGGGTTCCCTCATTGCGTAAGAGAACCTGCTCAATATGGGGCTGATATTCCAACCCCGGCCGAACAAAAGGATCGCCCATTGGAACCTACTCACTACCGCGGTCGTTTTCCTAAAAAAGAGGTAAAAGCCTGTAGAACAGGCGAATTCGGTTACACCGGGGACTCCGTTATTTCTCCCTTCTTTGGTCTTGCCTCTTACTCGCTCCTGAGAATAGGTACTGGATCTTCAATGTTTGCCCCAATAAATAAATAAATCAATAAACAGATATGACAACTAGCTCTGGTGATTTTGCTGATACAACTAATAAAATGTCGCAACCGTGAATAATGTAAAATTGATGATAATTGATAGAAGAGGGTAACTCAGATGTCATGATAAGGGCATAAGCTTAACCAATAAATCACTCAGACGAATCAATATTTTGGGCTCTATCGTTGCACAACAATTTATTAGGAATCTAAGGCTCTATTCTATTTAATATATATATAGGAATATTATGGAATATGGCGATCAAATCAAATCCCATTTGCGTCAATTCATGACCCGCCACCAGCGGCAGATCCGGTGTTTCCATCAAACGCCGTGTCCAACTGAGCGAGGAGACTTCAAAGGAAGGAAAAATCTCCCGGCCATCGGTTTCTCAGTCCTCCAGGCTCATGCCCACTACACCCTACTATATAGATCCGGAGCTCCTACGTGTGCACGCATCGGTGAAGATCCGGAAGCACCAACATCATCCAAGTTATCCACTATGAACTTAGAAGCCAGGGCTGGCGTAGGTGGATAGTCGCCTCATACCCTTGCTTATCGATTCCAAACCGTTCATTTTGTTGATTATGATTCGCGCATTTGAGAAAAATGGACCCCCACTTCGCTGCTAGACAAATGCCGGGGAATAGGGATGGGTTCCTATGAAGGATCCATGCGGTGAAGCCACGCCTGCCGAGCCATGCGTTCTCGATTCTGATTCGGAGAAAGGAACCCCGCCTCCCCGCCTCCCCCCCCTAAACCCCCATCCTCACTACGCAAGGGATTTTCCATAGCGCTGCGCGTTTCTCGTCGTGCTCACCCGCGCAGGATGGGATCCGGGAAAAGGCTCCGACGTCGTTGGCGGGCCCTTCGAATTCCCTTCCCCTCTTTTCCCCCCTTGTGGTGATTTCTCAGGCTCGGAGCGGCGCGATCCGACCGGGGCGGTGGGTGGAAGCCCTTCGGGAGCCCCCTTTCCATACGGGTGCTTCTCCTCAGGGGAGGAACTCCCCGACGCCGACGCGTCTCCTTCCTCCGGCGCCTGCTCGGGGAGGTCGGGGAAGAGCAGTCGATCCTTCGCCGTGCGCCCCCACGGCTGCGGGCCGTAGCGCCGCTCGTAGCGCCCGAGCGCGGCGACGAACCCCCCCTTCGTGAGGGCGACGCGATCGGACGGGGTGAACGCGCGCAA